TTATATTCATTAATTTTTGAATGTTAAACTACCCCTTCATCCTGGATTAAAGCAGACTCATTTCCAGTGTACTTTTTCATGGTGTATTTCATAAATTTATGACCTATCTCCTTCAATTTGCTTAGAATGTTAATGTTTACATAAAGTTGATTCTGCTACAATGATTTCTTCTAATGGCCTTACTGTGCATCAAACTTGCACTGGTCTCCTAAAACGAGTTGGGAATTCTCTGAATCTACTCTCTGCTGTTACATTTTTCTTCAGTGTTTACACTTTCAGTGCTGAAGCCCACAAGGTGTAGTATTTTCTTTCAGAGAAGCCTTTTAATAAGAAGTTCAACTTCTTTAATAGTTACTATTTTATTCAGTTATCTATTCATCTTTTAGCTTTGGAAAACTGTAATACGTAAAGAGCTTACTCATTTCATCAAAACTGTCAACTATACAGCATAAAAGCACATAATTATGAATGTAGCTTGATAGGGTTTCTTTGAAATAATGAGAACATAAGCTTTCTGAAAGCAGAGATTTTGGTCTATGTCGTCACTGATGGAGCCTCATCCCTCATAAGTAAAATAATGACTCTTGTGTTTATTGAATTAACAAGTAACAGAATTTCTATTGAATTACTGAATCAATATTTACTAATGAATCAATAAACAATTTTATCACTTAGATGCTGAGTGAGAATCTTTATTTAAGATGAACTCCAACCTCACGACATGAAGGAGAACAAATTCATATTTATAAATTTCCGTGTGTCTTATTCTTCCATAGTTTTGAGTTTCTGCTTAAAGTAAAGGACCTTGGTGAACTGCTGTCTCATGAATTTCTTGATGGATGAAATCACACACAACATTTATCCTGACCATTTCCTTGTTTTCTACTAATAAGTTCTCACAAGTGAAACTACATTGTTTAGTACACTTTCCCAGTAGCAAAATAAAAGACCTACATGAATGGTCATTATCCCTGCCATCAGGATTCCTGCCACACACCCCTGCTTTACTCATCATGTGTCTTTTTCTTTCCCTCACATCACCCCTACAGTTCTTTGTATCCCTAATGCAGAATGGTTCACCCATCTTGTTGGCATTCATTCATATATATATTTTTATGTATTTCAGGAAATGTATACTCTTTAATGTCCAACTAAGAAGCAGTCATATAAAATAAGGCCAGTTGGACAGGAGGATTAATAAATCCCTGCCCTGGAAGAGGAAGCTATTTGTTCATTCTTCAATGTGGAAGCACAAGTTTTCCTTTCTAGGGGTTTAACACTTTCCTTCAAGGCTCCTGGATTCTCTCCCGACCCTGGTTAATTACAATAGAGTAGCACCTCCTACATCCTACCCAGTCTTCTTATCTATGGGAACTTCGATTGTGGGTACCCATTACCTGTTACCCCACTGTATACCGGTTGTCTGTCACTGGAGGATCCTTCTAAATTAGTGGGAGATCCTCACAGACTCACATGCAGATATGATTGTGCCTTAAACTCCCAAACCTTTGGGGTTATCACCTTTGGGAAGAATGAGATTATGTCTTTTTGAGAAGAAGAGTTTGAATGGATATTGAATCCCAAATGCTGATCTACAGTACAGGCTGTCCTTGCTTCCCATCATATTCATCTCTTTTCTTCACTAACAAAATGGTGAGGTTCCTGGGTGTGGCTTATTATCTCAGTCCTCTGGGAGCCAAAGGCAGGAGAATTACAAGTTCAAGCTCAGCCTTGACAATGAAAGTAGGGAGATATTGTCTCAAAATCGAGAAGCAAAATGGGGGAAAGAGCTGGTGACGCAGCTCAATGCTAAGGACCTATGTTCAATCCCTGTTACCACTACTCCCCCCTGCCAAAAAAAAAAAAAAACAAACAAAAAATGAGGAAGAAGGAAGGAAGAAAGAGATAGACAGACAGACAGACAGAGCATTGATTTGTCTAGCTACAAATTCATGTTTTCCAGCCATCCTTCCAAGTAAATGTGAAAAGATTCTGAGTAAATAAAGATGCAAGAATGGCATAACATCAGCAGACATGATGTTTGCATATTCGTTTTTTATCCTTTATTTTGTGGTTATTATGTACTGCAAATATGTACTAGTAAAAATAAATGCACTCCTATTTTTAAACATAGACTTTACTTAGGTATGTATTATATTGGGGTGTTCACTCAGCTACATCTCCAGTTCTGTTTTTACCTTTTTATCTTTATTTTGAAACAGTTTTCTTACTAGTGTTAAGTTGGCTGACACAGCTAGAATTTGGAATTCTCTTACCTTAGCCTCCTAGAGCTCTGAGATTACTTACGTAGATGAATCTTATTTTTCAGAGTTCTTGATTCACAGCAAATTTGGCAGATTTATAGATACACATTCACAGCCTCTCCTAATAGGAACACCCCCAATTAAGTGATACATTTGGTACAGCTGATAAACCCTCACTGACACATCATTATCACCCAGATCCAACAGGTCCCATTAGGGTTCGTTTTTGGTGTTGTGCATCCTATGGGCTTTGAAACATGTACAATGTCATATATCTGCTATTATACTGCCATTAAGAGTCTTCTCACTGCCCTAGAAATCCTCTGTGCTCTGCCAATCCATCCTTCTTTTCTCCCTGATCTCTGATAAGCACTGATCCTTTAACAGATTCCAGTGTTGCCTTTTCTGGAATATTATACACTTGGGGTCACACAGTGTGTTAGCGTTTTAAGATAGGCTTCTTCCACTCAACAATATTAGACAAAAGTTTCCCCCAACACTTCCCACCTCCCCGCTCCCACCAGCAATAGTGCACTAACAAGCAAATCAACACAGCTAAACCTGTATCATTTTTGTGTAAAGATGCATAAAGCACATTAGAGTATTGAGATAGCGGAAGAACAATGCCTGATGTTAAAAAAAAAACAATAACATTTTTCTCATCAGTCACGATCTTTACTCTTGTTCTGTGTTCCCGTTTCAAGTTTTGAGGTTTGTAGTCACGAAATGGTTCCTCTTTACTAGTGGGTTCTCTTACAGGCAAAGTTGCGATTTAGAAGTGAATTTTGGATGATACAGCCCAGGATTTAACTAGCTAACGATGGCATAGTAGAGTTGATAAAATTTCTGCCCTCATGTTTGGCCTCACCCACATCCCACGTGATCTTATACCAGTTTAGTTATCTATTGCTACATATGAAGCATCCCCTACCACCATCGCCAAAAAAAAGAGAAAGCTATGGATTTCAACAACAGGAACCTAAGTTATTGTCTGTTACAATATCTGTGAAATAGTAATGAAAGACTGGCTTTTCTGTTGTTTCATGGGGAATGGGTATGTGTACATAATGTATCTTAGTTCTTTCTACTTTCTCCTCCTCTTCTGTCCCTCCATCTCTTGGTCACCTTCCTATTTACAGAAGCTCGGTCTCCTGGTTTCCTATTAGCTATCTTTTGTTTTGCTTACTAGGCACTTCTTGTTTTCCCACCCAGTATTTTCTACCCTGTAGTACCCCATGCACTAGTATGTAAACTCCACATGACTATTGAGGTTATTCAGTCCTCTCTCCAGGGTCACACTGTCCAAAAGAAATGGAATATGAGCCCCCCAAAAGAAGAAAAATGCAGGAGTCGAGATTTTGCATTAGTGACAGAGAGAAGGATACAGAATAAATTTGGAAAGTAAATCTTTGTAAAGGAAAAGAACGCTTGTCACAGCAACAGCAGGTATACTGGAGTGTTTGGGCTACAAAATCTAAAATGTTCACATCGAATTGTTGTCCTTTTCTCACAGAAATATGAGTCAAGTGCATAAGCTGAGCATAAGAGCACTGCAGGGATTTAGGTAGCTTCGGGTGAAAGCAGAAGCACTGGAAGTCATTTGAAGGTTAGACTTGGGCATACGTTGAAACTACAGTGATCTCACTATGAAGCGCTGGATTTCCATTTCAATTATATGGTCATAGAACTTAACTGCACAT